GTGAAGTATAAAAATAAGCGTGTTTCCACCCTTAAGATAAGTTAGCAATAACGTTATTTTTGCTCATATATATTTTTTGTGTAAACCGGCTCTGCCAAAAAAGAAACTGTTTAGCATACTCGCAATTTATTTCCAAGGTATACACAACTGTCTTTGCCAGGCTGAGTCAAAAAATACTCACAAGTTCATGTATTAATAGTCTTGCTTTTCTTAACAGTCGTGATGTCCGAATACGTTTTTTCATATGTGAGAAGAGAAACAAAAGTCTTTGATACTAGTCACGAGAACATCCAAGTAATGATCGAAGGAATAAATAGTGATATCGCGATGGTTTTTCTTGTATATAAAAATGATAATCCGGATGAGTCAACGAAGGTAGTTTTTATGAATGCGACAGCTGAAGAAAAAATAGAACCTGTACGTGTCAAGGATAGAGAAAGCTATCTTGTAACTTGGATAAATAACTATGAATTATCTGTGGATGGTAAACGAATTTTTAAGTTAAAACAAAAAAAAGAGCAAGGGGCTTTTCGAGGTCTTCAAGAGTTTTTAGTAAATAAATAAATAATTTTTTTTTTATTTGTATTCGCACTATGTAACTGCGATTTATTTTTTTATTATATAAATAAAATTATTTTTTTTTTATCTGTATATTGTCGCTCCGGCAAAAAATATTAATAAAGAAGGGGGGTCCTGTGGCCTTCCCATGTTTTATTTTTACGTGATTTTTGCAATGCAATTTGCGCCTTAACCTCAATGTTCTCAGCCTCAAGCACAATGATTCGCTGTTTCAATAATTCTAATTCTGACATGTCTGGTTATTAACAGTTTTATATAGAAAGTAGATTTATTCAAAACTTCGAATCTAATTTTTTACTTCGCAGGCTATTCAACCGTAATATAGCTCGTGATCGATGTGTGTTTCATATAATTATCCCTATTTTATCAACCGTGATTGAGCCGTGATAGTCGTAATCGTGTTATGATTAGCCTAACTTTAGGAAATAAATTTACATGTTATATTTTTTTTATTACTCCGCTGATCAACCGGTTTTGTTCCCTGACCGCAACCGTGATCGATAGGTGATCGTTTTATTCATGTACTTTTGCGATAAGCAATGGATTACATCGATAATCAGTATCAGGTGCGTGTTTATAAGACGATTGTCATATGTACGCATTAAATGCGCCGGGAATGCTTATATGCATACTTTTTTATTTTTCCGGTGCACGTATACACCATATACATGTTGAAAATCAGAAGCTCAAACTGTGGGTACATTTTATTAATTTTTGGATAATAATGTGACTCAAAGATCCCGATTACAATAAAAAAGTTCAGCGGTTTGAAGTAGTAATAATAAACATTGCCTTCACTCTTCATCATTCTTATTCATTCGTTTACTTTCTGGCGTCACAGAGCTTGACATTAATTGTAATCTAGGTGGTGGTGTCGTAAAACCACTTTCATCACAGTTCTGTAACATCTTAAGCTGTTCTTCTTCCGTCAGATCCTCTTCCTCCATTAGTTTGATTACATTTTTCACTATTGCCTTTAAAATGTTTGAAAAAAATAAGTGAATGAAGGCAATTATAAATACCTAAAGCGACATTTACCTTTGCTTTCCATACCAAGCTTATTGTTGGAAGGGCCTTTGCACCGAATTCAGAGATTTGAGTTGGCATCTCAAAAAGCCGTGTCCGTGACAATCTACAGACATGCCCCGCTGGTAAATCCAATCGCAACAGTGATATCCTCAAGCCTAAAATGATAAAATTGAGTTGTACGAACCAAGAATTACCAAATGTAAAGGCTTATACATACCCGAGATGATAAAACCGACTGTTTCCAGCCTTCTAATTTTATTCTTCCGCATTTCCATAGTTTTGCAAAGATCAATGAACATATCTCTAAGCATTTTGGGCATTTTCAAACCACCTTCTTTAATAATCTTTGTACCATTGATTCCTTCAAATATTTTTCCAGCTTCGCTACACCCATATTCAGTATGCCATTTCCGGATTATTAAATCTCCGCGCCGACCCATTGCCTTTCTTTTCATCGAATCTGTTGATGCAACCACCCGTTGTGAATTTTTTCTATTTGATGATGCATAGCTACATGATTCACCTCTGTTACAAAGAAATAGTTAATCAAATTTATAATAGCGGGAAAATGTTTTCTAGAAAAAAAACCTACCTAACAATTTCCATGCCCTCTATATCTAAGAAGGCTTTATCAATAAACGACCACACATGTAGCATGATCCATGTTTCAAGGTGATCCTTTTCGAGATGATTCGCTTCATATTCAAGCACGCTGTTATTATAACAACATCCTTAAAAATCATATGCATAACAGTATGGCACAATCAAAGTTATACTTACAGATTATATATAGTATTGCGTATCCAGTCATAATCGAAATTTTTTGATCGATCGAATGGTTGATCGCGTAAATCAGAGCGAAAGATCAATTCTCGCAGGTCAGAAGTATTGGACTATTTGATACATTGTCTGAGTAAGTTATACAATGCGAAGAACATTAAGAAAAAAATACTAACCTTTCGGAAACTATTAAGATACTTCAAAAGATCATCCGGTACTAATGGTAATTCTTTCTTGCTAAAATTTTTAATTTCTTCTAATTCCTCACGTGTGAAAATGCCTTGCTGTATATAGTTCTTATCGTCCGGGTCGATTAAAAAAGAATGACAGAGACTTTCATAAAGTAAAAACAAATGAACATTAAATTGCAAAACAATACATAAAAGCAACGAGTAAATGCTTACTGTTCGTGTGAGCATTTCATTCCAAACACGTATAATGCATCTTCAACAATTTTTTCGGTTGACAAAGTCCATTTATCTTCTTTTGGAATTTTTTGATATTTATTCGTAAATTGTTGATACGCAGTTGAAGTCATTTTTATAGCGCTGTCGCCGTTAGCTTTCTCGACATTCACATCTCCTTTACAGGATTTGATCTGTGCACATCAAAATATAAAAAAAGGTGAGACCAAATTTTTGCGGGATTATTTACAAGTATTCAATGCTAACCTTCTTTGCCCCCACAGGGGAAATTAAATCTGAATCTAAAGTGCTATCAAAAGCACGTTTATCATCTGAAGAGGTTGCCTCCTTATTGTATGGTAAGCGCAGTTGCCTTCCAAAGAATTTACCTGATTCATCAAATGTAAGAAGTGTTTCCTTCTCGTAAGTGATTTGAACTTGGAGCTAATACAGTAAGATAATTATAGATTCTTTTCAGGAATGAATGCATTAATAAATTAAAAATTCCGATATTTTCTTTGGTCTTACCCGTAGTCGCTCAGTGATCACTTCTTGCCAAAAGGAGTACAGGTTGGATTTGGCACGCTCCAGGTTCACCTTATTAAATAGAGTAGATGATTAGAGTATACAATTAGTCGTTTCAACACCTTAATAAACCGAACCGAAAACACAACAGAGCAGAACGCAATGGCAGGAACCAGGAAGACTCATGATGCTCCAAGACAAGTAACACGTGGCAAGGAGTTTTCCATACCATCACTAGGGCCAGGAAGACTCATGATACTCCAAGACAAGTAGACACGTGTCAAGGAGTTCCCTTACCGCAATGAAACTATAATAAAGTTACTGGAATGAAATTACCTTACTTTCAAAAGCTTCCCCTAACGTTAAGTCTAATAGCTCTTTTCCTGCTTGTATAAATCGCTTATTCCATGTACCATCGAGAGTATTCCATTGATCTTTGAAAGGTGGTGAATTTATGATAAGGGTACGATTTAGTTTTCAAAAAATCAACGTATGACCAAAGGCTGGGATCAGTTCCTTCCAAATAATTTAAAAGAGCTATCGAAACGAAACATGATTAGTACATAAAATATCTTTCCCATTATTTCATTACCATGCTTGCCTGTTCGGCCAGGATATATCTCGTCGGTATTAGACATCTTGCAATGTGGTTCGAATAAAAATAAAGAGGAAAATCTTTACGCAAATTAAAACGTAGGCATACGATTTTATCATTTGATCTGTATTATTTGAGAATTATCACATTCACATCGTCTATATATTCCATCCGCATAGGTGTGAATGATGATCGCATTCGTCACAAACCTTACACCCGTGATTCCAACCTCTGAAGATATGCCACTTTTCGATATAATTGTGTCTTTTTTTATTTGTTAATACGTTACTCTTATCTTTCATTGTTATATATTAACAGAAAAAATATAACGTGGCTAAATTT